TGCTAGGATAGAACAAGTAATAACTGACATAATGTATTGATTCGTTTAATGGTAGATTCTCCTGTGAAGAACAGTAACACGTAAACCTATTTCAGCAGCCACTTTATTGGTCAAATTATAACTCACTGAATAACTGGACTAAACAGAATTGATTGAGTTTTGAGTAAACAGACTAATATTTAATATTAATGTTTGTACGATCGCGAAACATAAGTTCTAATCACATAGTACTCTCTCTAAACCCTAAATAATTCATAGGCCTGACTTCTTTAAATCCTAAGTTATATTGATTCCATGACTAAAATAAAAATTCAATTACGTATTAATTTGCAAATAATCAGTTCCCAATCTAATCGTTGATTTAACACGAAGGTCTTCATCCTTCTAATTCATAGCATTAGGATACTCACATCTAACTCTCTTAATTTCCCTGTAGACCGTAGCAATCGATAAACTATTTCATTGAAAAAGAAAGACACCTACACACGTTCAACCAGAACATTTTGCGAGAATAGTACATGTAATAACTCAGCTAACATATCGATTCATTCGACGGTAGATTCTCATTTGGGTGGCAGTAGTAGGTTCCGCAGAGTGGTAGACACCACTCGCAGTAGATTCGACCACGGTATGATCAGCCACTGGGTAACACGTTTGAATTGTGTACGTAGCCAACGGTCCATCGTATATTTCTCGTGTTGGCTTTATCCAAGCGTGGGTTTGCACTGCCGGTGACATTAGCGCGTCTTGTCTTCCGCAAAATTACTATAACACGAACGTAAATGAACAAGTTGTGCTGTGGATTCCGATCGTGTCGCGCGAAATTAACTGTGAATCGCGTGAAATCGAGGAAGCTCGTTTTGGTAACGTAATGATGACTGGCTTTTATTGAATTGGTTTTATTAAACCAGGCTGAAGTTCCGTTTTGGAGTCGCTTTAATATGGAATGACTGTTATTTCGGGAAGAGTATGATCCAATTATTCAGCTGGAATTGTATTTGAGCTGAACTATATTGTGAATTTTAATGGAATTGTGGGAAAATTTCGTGAACGGAAGTTACGGGTGATTTGAATAGCATTGGGGTCAAATGACATAGAGGTGATGCTAGATGATTGGTTAAAATGATTAAATATTGGGCAGAGGCAACAAATGATGTATACGAGGTAAATTTAAGGTGATTTTAAAGGTATGTTTCAGTTTTCGTAAAATTGTTAAATTCTGTACAGATTCTTTTAGTATTTTGATATTTAACCCCTTCGTCTAGAATATCGTGTGAGACTCGTGATAAGAAAATAGGGCCGAACATATATATCACAGGTGAGTGACGTAATTCGTAGATAGGGCCCAACGTAAACATCACCGGTTCATTTTCACCGATGTCTTTCTGTCCCAGTTGCGTGTTATTCTTGGCTGCGTTTACACGAAATGACTCAACGTGTGACCAACATTGTTATTAATTATGGCACACGCCATCGAAACTTAAATGGTAAGGCAAGGGGTTAAAATGTGAGAATGATATTAATGTTGTTAAACTTTGTTAGTTTAGAGAATGAAATGTAATATTATTCATGAGGTTTTATGAGATTATTATTATTCGTATGTTCCTTATCAGGATTTATATTGAATCCTATTTATACTAACAAAGAAAATAAATATAAGTATTTATAACATATTCGTAACTGATGCTTTATATGTATATAATATATTGAACTGTATTAGTAATTATAGTATATATAGTGTATATATTACTGTATACATGTATTATTTAAGTCGGTTTTATAACTACCAGAATATTTAACTCTTTCCTGTAACAAACATTCAATCAAATACCGATCAGATATTGAAAAATCAGAACCATAAATGAGACCAATTATTAATATCAAAATATTGCTGTCACAAATTATAATTATGAGTATCACGTTACAATTTCTTTCTACTAAGGTCATTTTAAATATGACAATCATTCATAATATGAAATCACCTAAATGCCTAATAAAAAAGAGTTGTTAACTAATCATTAGAAATGCAAATTAACACCATACATTTGGGCGAATACTAACGTGTTGCCAAACAATTCCAGCAAACTGGTACTTAAACCTATGTGGGCCTCGAGAGTACATTACATAGAGAGAATTCTGAATGTCCTTGTACTCTTGGGAGCTACAGTCTTAATACGCAATGAACTGAAGCACTAGTTTAAACTCTTGACACTTTCATGTGTAATTCAAAATGGATTATTGATACGTTGACCTAAAGAATAAATTGTCTTGGAAAATGTATGTCGTGTTTCGTTTATATATGTATAATAAATAAAGTTAGCATGAGGAATGCATAATTATGCATGGGTGCCAACTTTAGAAACTAAAAATCATTCTTTAATAGGAAATATTAAAAACTGTTATTTAAATAACTTCTTTCTTTATTTAATTAATTTTAAAAAAAATTGTGAAAAAGAGCTCTACATTATATATTCTGTTTATTGATATTTCAGTATTTACGAATCTCTCATTAAAATTATCCAAATTCTAAATTCTATAAATTCATATCTTAATATCCATAAATATTTAATACTTTAATTTTTTAAAATCCTCGAAGGTACAATGACTTTTTCTAGCATATCGAATATTTGCAAAATTCTCCAAATTTCAAATTATATTTTACGTGTCAATATTCACGAATCTTTAATTACATAACAATTTCTTAATCTCCATAAATTTATTATGATCTGGAACATATTTTATAAAACCTTGACTTAATATCCACGAATCTTCATCCCCACAATGCCCAACTTCCATAAACGAGTAACAACCACTCCTATCCTTTCCACCGAATATTCCCAAAATTCCGCATAAAAATTGCCTTGGCATCCAAAATTCTTTCTTCAACGACCACAAGCCATAAACCAGAATTTCCATCGCCTTTACATCTCTCCTCGATATCGTTCACCCCACATCCACTCAAATTTTTGTCCACCGTCGACGCTATCGTCTCCCTTCCTCTTTCACCTGGACCAGCTCGCGACAGCAGCCTTAAATTCTCGCGAAATTCGTCGCGCGGAACTTGCGCGACCATCTGTTGTGTACTCGTTCGGAAACGAACAACGGCGAAAGGCGTAAAGCATCGCGACGCAGCTTTATATCCCTCGCATCGGCGGACAACGACGACAGAGAGTCACGAAACTGCGAATAACTCGCGTACCAGACTTATTTGCCGGATAAAATAAGCGAGGTTCCGCGAGGCGTGTTACGAACGACGATAAAACGGAATTTGCGAGGGTGTACCTGTCGAACGAGCGGTTATTCACGGTAGGAAAGATTAAACGATCAACGCTGCAGCAACTCCTCCTGGAGCCGGTAATTTTTGTCGTTCGGCTCGGAAAAAAAGGGTTGCAAACTGAATCGAGATCGTTTTTGGTTAACGGCGCTATCGGGAGTTTGCTTACGGGCGAGATTTCTTTTTTGTTCTTTTTGCTTTGGCCCTTGCGATCGAACGGAATGTTTGGTTCGAGTTGAAGATAAATTTGCGCGGCGTGTTAATTAAAGGGGTTGAGCTGTTGGAAAAAGTTCGGTCGAACTGTGTAGCGGGTCAGTTTGTCAGGAAAGTTAGGGAAGATTAATAATTCACAAACAAAATGGGAGAAGCATGGTTTCGATGTGGTCGAGTGAGAATTGAAGTCGATAATGAGATAGTAAACGTGGTGTGATGTAATCGATTAGACAATTAGAGTTTAGGGTATGCGAATTAGAAGTGGAAGAAAATGAACGTGGTGTAATATAATTGATTAGAGAGTTAGAGTTGTTTGTAGATTTTATGAATTAGGAACAAAGTACGATAAAGTGTGCGATATGGTGTAATATAATTGATTAGAATTTATAGTCGAAACGAAATAAGATAAACATGGGGTGATATACAGACATAATAGACTTAAATCAAAATTCTTTAAAAAAAAAATAATATATGTACATATTGTATTTTTCTCAAAGCGTCCAAAGAGAAAATATTATACATACATCCAATTGGATATGAAAAGTGTGTTGATTAGAATAGGTATAATTAAAAAATATTACATGAATGATACATAAAAGTTCAAAGTTTCATTAAAAAGTTAGAAGTACCACGTACAAAGGAAAGGATAAGTGTGACTCATGAAACAGGACAGTAATAGATCGATGGTCAAAGTAATTGTTAGATATTAATACTCCATTCCATAATGTTCAATGCTCCTGTCGATATCAACAACGATAAAAGATTGAATTTATTACTCGACGAAGTTCATTTTGATTTCGTACCTCAATGAATCGATCATCAATCATCTTAATCTCAGCTTTAGATCATCAAGTTTAATGGAACTTTTGGGACATGTAGCAGATTTCTTCCTCTTTACAAATCGTCCTTATATAATGGAACATATTCTAAGTTTCCAAATTAGTAGCTTATGGAGTTTCTCTTGCGTGACTTTGCTTATTAAGCACCAAAATTATATTTGACGTCACTTTAAAACTATTTAACCACACGAGTTTAAATAGATGAAATAAAATTGAAATTACATACGAAATTTTATCTGCGATTTATACAATTGAAATTATTAAAATTATTTAGAAAGTGTTAAAATTATTTAGAAATTATTAAAATTATTTAGCATTTATGAAAATTGTAAAATTATTAATCTTAATGTTCTATTTAATATTAGCAATAAAGTGAAGAATAAACGTTTGAGAGGGATATACTTTTCGAAAAATAAAATAAAATAAATATAGTCGTAAAATATGAAAACATCGGGTAATATCAAAAATAAAATTCGACGATTTATCCATATTAAAATTCTAATTCTTTTCAAGATTAAAATTTTTCTACGAAGGAGTAAGTCCGTATTCACTGAAAGATCAGATCTTCTTGGAGTATCTCTAAATTAGATAACTCTGTAATATTAGAAGACTTAAATTGTAAAAATATTTTTCTTCCTGCACGTTGAATAGAAATTTTTGTGATTCTATTTCAGAGCAGCATCTGGTCTGATATTCTTCCTGGAGATTACCTGGGCCATCACGCTATTTGTGCAGATCTGCGTCAGGTATATATATATACACGTAATAAAATATACTTTTGTCAACTTTAATGCATGAAGAAATAGCAGATGTAAGATTATATTGTTACTAAAATCAAAAATTAAGAAATATATAACGGTGTGTTTTTTAGTATTTTAATTCGTCTATTAGTATCTATTATTTTTGTATTTTGTAGCTTGAAATATAATAATAATACATATATTGTATTCTTTAAATCATCTGTTTTTGGAATTTTGTATTGTTTCAACTTGAGTGGAACACCTTGTATACGCTACATATATACATACACTATACTTCATTACACTATGCACATATATTCATTACATATTTTTCGATTTATTATATCACGTTCCACGAATCCCACAAACCCATTACACCCTACAAATTCACCTTCCAACAAACCTAAACAACACATCCTCTAATCTCCTTATCCTCTATCATCTCCATAACAAATCAGCCAGTCCAGCTCAACATTTTTCCTAAAATACCTATCACGAAGAATTCTATACTCCCATTCGGAACGAGTCACACGTTGGCCCTTCCACCCACCCTTTCCCGTTCTCGCGTCCTCTCATTGTCAGTCGAGAATGCTTCCGCCGAATCTCATTGATTTTCTAATGCCATTCGAGATTCCAATAAACGCAAAAACGTCGACGAAATCGAGCAAACTATCTGCAAACGAGAATCGCGAAGACAGGGGTGGGGTAGCTGGAAGAAAAAGTGGAGGGATGATGAGGGTGGTTGAAAAGCAGACCGGTAATTACCGAGTCCGAACTTTGTCCCAATTTCCTCGCCGGTTCGATCGCGAGTTTGCTCGACGTGTAAAGAGTGGTCGAAGGAGATTCCGGGAAAATATGCAAGAACGCTATAGAGGGGTTGGATGATTGCGAGGCCAAGGATGGCGGGGTGGCCGGGTACCATCCATGGCAGAGAGAATACAGCAAAAGGCTGTGGAAATACAGCGATAGGAGTTCCCGAAGGAAGAGCGATTTTATTGGCGGATAGAACTTCCGACGATCTATCCCGACTCGACACCACTAGTTTCGGCGAGTTTATACCCTTGTCGAGGTTATCAAAAGGGACGAGGAGTGGTTCGAACGTTTCCGAACACGCGGCCATCTTATTACCGAGGATGGAACGAGATGCTTCTTCATTCCGCATACGAGGACAATTTTTCTTCTTCGTTCGTTTGTTCCTGCTTCGATAGCAGTCCTCGAACGACGAATGAAAGGGTGGCTCGCTTTGATCGACGAAATAATCGCCTATAATTATTTCAGCATGATTTTTCTTTTATTTTGTTTTGAATTCAGAAAGATGAGGAGGAAATGAACTTGTTTCCGACCGCGCTGCTGATTTTAATCTTGCGAGATGGTGAAATAATCGCATGTGATTATTCGGGGATGATTTTTATTTTATTTTGTACTGAAGAATTTCGAACTGAACAGGATGAAGAGAAAATGAACTTGTTTTTGGAACAAGCTGTTAATTTTAATTTTGTGAGATGGTGAAATAATGGCGTGTAATAATTTTGGGATGATTTTCCTTTCTCTTTATTTTGTTCCCTGGATATTACGTTGTTCAATACGAATTTAAATCTGTAATATCCATTGGATACTTCCTGTAAAATTTACTTTCCTGAAGATGAATCTGTAATCGATATTGCTCTATCACCCTCAGTTTCCATAAACGTGCGTTCTTCGAAAAATGCACGATTTATGGCCAAAATTACTCGCCTTTCTAGCCTCGAAAGTGTCATACATACGCATAATCCGAGTACCAAGATGACATACAATACATGGAATTGCTGAGTACACGATAGCACCTAGTCGGTACTTAAGAACGATTACGATTATCGCTAGAACAATTATGTTCTATTTGGTAAACGAGAGGGTAAAAGAATTGATATATTTGGCTCCAAGTTAGGTGGCTTACCTTTGAACGGATGGCGCGCACATGAAACTTAGTCTAGGAATCTATCTTACCATTATTTAGGTCTACTTAGATCTAACGCACGCATCCCGCGTCGTCCATTGATGTATTTCAAATGAAGTCTTGAGGAAACTTGAGAATCTTGAGAAATCTAAAAGCTAAAACAGAATATATTATTGTTAATATAAACCTGAAAGGAAACGGATTAGTACGAGGAAAGAAAACGAACGAATAGAAACCATGAAGGTTAACCAAGTGGAAGGAGCAAGCCACCGATGAGACAAAAACAAATCAACGATGAGACATAAACAAACCAATGACGAAACATTCGAATATTGTACAAAATATTCAAATGTTCGAATGAAAATGAATAGAAACGAAAAAATAAAATGTGGAAAGAAAAGAATAATTAAAACCCGAAAGAAAATAAATTAGGCCTGAAATATAAAAATTATTAACAATCCAACGATGAGATATAAACAATCTAACGACGAGACATAAACAATCTAACGATGGGGCATTCGAATATTATTACAAAATATTCGAATGATCAAATATAAATAAATATAAGCGAAAAATAAAATTTGAAATAAAAAAAAATAATTAAAACCTGAAAAAATAAAAAATAATTAATATCTGAAATAAAATAAAAATTAATACCTGAAAACAAAAAAAAAATTATTAGTAAATTGATTAATGGGGTGGGGTGAGGGTGGGGTAGCCATTCCCAACCTCACTTCGGACCCCCACCCCTCGCACACTATGAAAATTAGATGTTACTCTTCCAAAGTCGAACTGACAAATGAGTTTTGCACCGTCGCATCGCCCCTTATATAGCCGCTGATCGGCCGAACTCTCCACCCCAATCGGAAATTTTTGAACTTCGCGGATTTTATTAATTATTAATTTCTGGCTCTCGCAGCCAATAATTTATTAATTTTTTCACTTTTATTATAAATATACGTTGCGAGCAATTTGTTATTAATAATAAGTGTAATCATTTTTAAACTTTTCATAAATTATTTTTACATTTAATATACTTACGTTATAAGTTCAAGTAATAGCCAATAATTTATTAATGTTTTCTCCTTTATTATAAATTTACGTTGTGAACAATCTGTTATTAATAATAAATTTGATTATTATATACTATAACTGCACGTGCACTTCCATGGGATTTTCTATGACACATATAGGTATCAAAATATTTTTATTTCCTCTATATTTTTGGGTTGTCTTGTCATATGAAGACTTTCTTAAAAAAATGCAATAATATGCCTAGAACGCAATAAGCTCAGAGGCTTATTTTTAAATTCTAATAACCAATTATAGTTATTCAGAGGCCCAAATAATTATAATTATAGTCCTTAATAAATTCAGCATATTCTTACCTAACTTGTAAGACAACAATGAACCTCCTAACGTTCTTACATTTTAAATACTTCATTGAAGTAAAAAAAATCGTGATTTTTTAGAAACATTCAAAATTTTCTAAAACTGAGGGTAATAGAGCAATTTTGATTACAAATTCGTGTTCAGGAAAATAAACTGTACAAGAATCACCTAATGAATATTACAGACTTGAGAAGAAGTTAAAATTTGTTGGAGAGTGTTATGAAATATGTTAATATTATAGTAATTTTATTATTAATACGTGTAGTATTTTAAATATACATGTCACTATTACATAATATGGAAATAGTTTGCATCTTAGTATAAAGTTTTTAAAGTGAAAATAATATTATGAATTTTTTGTTAAAAACATCAGTCAACTTAAAATGAAGATATATGTAACAGAATTTGCTCGTTCCATGTTATAGTATTCCAATTCAGATAACATTAGATGAGTTGGTACAATGCCAATATTATCCGTATACATCGAATATCTACCGTAATAATTAACCATTATTCTCTGTTAATTTGTGGCCAAATGAAATGATAGAGACATTACAAAATAGGGTCTTATTATTTCTCATAAATGTTACTTGTTTAACATTTATTAAATTTCCTATCAATTTTAATTATTTAATTATTTATTACTTTTTAAATTATGTTTTTACTTCTTTCTCATTTATTTCTTATTAAATTGCAACCTAGGTTATATATTATTTATTAAATTACGATTTTATTTATTTATTGTTCATTAGGTTACAACTTGAGCTATTCATTAAATTACTTACTATTTTCATATATAATGTTACTTTCTAATTATAGCTATTTATTAATTAATTTGTTATACAATAGATAACATACATTACATACACGCAAAGTTTCATAATTTCTTGAATTTTTGAGTTGCCTATCTTTCCACACCAACTATCAAATTAACACACATTTACCTTATCTCACGTAGATAACGATAACGGCTCGTGTACATACGTATGTACATCACGCTTTAAAAGATGCGTCATCTCTAAAAAAAAATCGTATGCGAAACACTTGTAAACATACACGAAAGTCGTATCTAATTAATCGTTTTAACAGTTTTTAATGAGTTGTGTAATTGACAAATAAATCTTGCAAAACGGAGTATGCAACTGGTGAAAACGCGATAAATCGACTGTCAACTTTTGATAAACTTCTGACAGGGAATGAACAAATCGTTATTTATAAAAGTATCGTTAATCTCGTATAGGAATGGAATAAATCTCGGCAAAGTGTAATAAAATTCCCCAAGTCCATTTTCATTAATACTAATTTGAACAGTTCGCAAAAAAATTGCACCGGCTTGACTCTACCCGATAACAAACTTCGTTCGATTAAAACTCTAATAAAATTACTGCGAATCGATATGAATAAATCGCCTGCAATTTCAAACTCGCAACTTGGTTATTAGTGAAATTATGTAGGAATAAATACTCGCGAATAGTCCTTAATTGTTCAGTCACTGAAAAATGAGCAATTGTTGCGCATTAATTAACTTTTGTCACAATTAAATTATACGAAATGTTTCCTTGGATAATTTTGATCAAATAACGGGCAAGTATTCAATTAGAAGAAAAGAAAATGGAACTTGCCATTACGTAATTCTTAATCAAGATACACATTGCATATCATGTTATCACTCGAGATAAATTTCGTTCCACGTTTCACGAAAATACGAAATTATGTTTGTGAAATATGAAATGAAATATTTATTACGGTTTACTGTTTTGAGAAACTTATTGAAATCATTTATGTATGTCTTATTAAATACCCATAATTTAATTAAATTTCTATAAATATAAATAATGCAGTAAACTACATATATACTTACAAGCACATTTAAATTCTGCCTTTTACATATTTTCTTTTTCTGTTTCAAATCATTAGGAACATCCTTTGAGTTAAATCATGTTCATAAATTACACTACTCTATTCGCTTGTACAACCATTTTTATACACATTTTCACTATAATTTACTTTTTTAATACATCTTTGTTTTAAGTCGACAACACAATTTAATTAAAATTTATCTTTATTTTATATTATTTCATAATTATTACGCTAATTTACTCATTAGTACTACCGTGTTACATAGAGAAATTTTTAATGCTTATTTCTTTAACACTGTTATCGTCTACTGTATAGTTAATAATAAAATTTTGTCATAAATTGCCTGTTATTGAATTTATCATTTGAATTTATTCCGCATTGCAGAGATATCACATAAAGAACCTGAAATAAAATAAAATATTTCATACAAACGACACAAACTTCTGCTATCAACGTACAAAAAGGAAATGAAATATAATTTATATATTATAAATATGTAAATATTATTACTATATTAATAATTCAAGGAAAATTAGTTTCGTCCAATTTCAGTACGAATACAATAATCTGACACGTGTTATCAATATTTATGCGAACAATTCGACGATATTTGTCGCTCAATCATCTTACTATTATCCTATACTCCTTACAAATTCAATCATACCTATATTCCTTTAGTGATCAACCTACACACACGCGCACTCTCAAAGCAATTATATTTTTAAATTCGCACAAACAAAATTTCCCAGCCCACTTTTCATCGACACCCACACGTTTACACGTACACCAAGGCACATTTGCTATTACTTTCAATCGTACCACGAATTAAAACCGAACGAAGACACTTTCTCCAGAACTCCAGGGTGCAAACAATTCTCCCACACACATTTCATATTTTTGCACGAGAGATTGCTCCGTTTCGAGTTCCACCGCAAATTATATACTATCGCCCTATAAAGTTATAACGAAAATACGCGTGAATTACATTTTCTCTAATAAAACCCCGACGCTTTATCGCTGCGGACTTTATTGCTTTCATAAATCTAATTTGAAAAGACGCGGCTCTCGTCGAGAACGACACGCTGCTCGATAAAACCGTATACATATTTTGTTTCAGAAACGACGAGTCTCTTTGTTCATGCTGCTGGTCGGCTGTGCTGGCGATAACGAGGGGTTGGCGGAGGGCATTGTTTTATCTGCCGCTATCCTGTGTTTTGGCATGGAAACCGCACAGTCTTTGGTTGTCCTATGTCGCGGGTAACTTGGCAAACTGGATGTTTAAATATTTCCCTTATATCCTTGCTGCTCGGATCCCTTTAATCGGCCGAAACTACCAGCTTTAGCGTAATAGTCGTTGCCCCTTCCGTTTTTTATATTTCATTGGCCGTGGTGGTTGTAGGTTGTGTGGCTTGTGAATTCTGGATCATGCTTTAATCCTTTGCTGATGAGACGCGAAGGCACTGGTACATAGAATAGGTAATAAACGGTATGAAGGGACGGGGGAAGGAAATTCATTGAAAAGGGAAAGTATAGATGTCTTTAGAGTAAAGGGAAATGAATGGAAATAAGAATTGCGAGGATGTGGAAATAATTATAAATACTCTTGCATGTTAATACTAAAATAATGAAATAAAATAATAGATATCGTAAAATAAAATAATACAACTTATACAAGTTTCTTCTGGTGATGTGATATTGAATAAAAATTATTTTCGATAATATGAAATCGAATAAAAATAAATCATCGATAACAATTTTCAACAAGAATTTTAATCAGTAATATCCAATGAATAATTCTTGTAGAGTTTACTTTCGTGAAAACGAATCCGTAATCGCAATTTCTCTGTCATCCACAACTTTCAAAAATTGTGAATTATTCTAAAAACGCACGATTTTTGGCTAAAATCACGATAAATACTTTATAATATGGAAATAGTTTGCATCTTAGTATAAAGTTTTTAAAGTGAAAATAATATTATGAATTTTTTGTTAAAAACATCAGTCAACTTAAAATGAAGATATATGTAACAGAATTTGCTCGTTCCATGTTATAGTATTCCAATTCAGATAACATTAGATGAGTTGGTACAATGCCAATATTATCCGTATACATCGAATATCTACCGTAATAATTAACCATTATTCTCTGTTAATTTGTGGCCAAATGAAATGATAGAGACATTACAAAATAGGGTCTTATTATTTCTCATAAATGTTACTTGTTTAACATTTATTAAATTTCCTATCAATTTTAATTATTTAATTATTTATTACTTTTTAAATTATGTTTTTACTTCTTTCTCATTTATTTCTTATTAAATTGCAACCTAGGTTATATATTATTTATTAAATTACGATTTTATTTATTTATTGTTCATTAGGTTACAACTTGAGCTATTCATTAAATTACTTACTATTTTCATATATAATGTTACTTTCTAATTATAGCTATTTATTAATTAATTTGTTATACAATAGATAACATACATTACATACACGCAAAGTTTCATAATTTCTTGAATTTTTGAGTTGCCTATCTTTCCACACCAACTATCAAATTAACACACATTTACCTTATCTCACGTAGATAACGATAACGGCTCGTGTACATACGTATGTACATCACGCTTTAAAAGATGCGTCATCTCTAAAAAAAAATCGTATGCGAAACACTTGTAAACATACACGAAAGTCGTATCTAATTAATCGTTTTAACAGTTTTTAATGAGTTGTGTAATTGACAAATAAATCTTGCAAAACGGAGTATGCAACTGGTGAAAACGCGATAAATCGACTGTCAACTTTTGATAAACTTCTGACAGGGAATGAACAAATCGTTATTTATAAAAGTATCGTTAATCTCGTATAGGAATGGAATAAATCTCGGCAAAGTGTAATAAAATTCCCCAAGTCCATTTTCATTAATACTAATTTGAACAGTTCGCAAAAAAATTGCACCGGCTTGACTCTACCCGATAACAAACTTCGTTCGATTAAAACTCTAATAAAATTACTGCGAATCGATATGAATAAATCGCCTGCAATTTCAAACTCGCAACTTGGTTATTAGTGAAATTATGTAGGAATAAATACTCGCGAATAGTCCTTAATTGTTCAGTCACTGAAAAATGAGCAATTGTTGCGCATTAATTAACTTTTGTCACAATTAAATTATACGAAATGTTTCCTTGGATAATTTTGATCAAATAACGGGCAAGTATTCAATTAGAAGAAAAGAAAATGGAACTTGCCATTACGTAATTCTTAATCAAGATACACATTGCATATCATGTTATCACTCGAGATAAATTTCGTTCCACGTTTCACGAAAATACGAAATTATGTTTGTGAAATATGAAATGAAATATTTATTACGGTTTACTGTTTTGAGAAACTTATTGAAATCATTTATGTATGTCTTATTAAATACCCATAATTTAATTAAATTTCTATAAATATAAATAATGCAGTAAACTACATATATACTTACAAGCACATTTAAATTCTGCCTTTTACATATTTTCTTTTTCTGTTTCAAATCATTAGGAACATCCTTTGAGTTAAATCATGTTCATAAATTACACTACTCTATTCGCTTGTACAACCATTTTTATACACATTTTCACTATAATTTACTTTTTTAATACATCTTTGTTTTAAGTCGACAACACAATTTAATTAAAATTTATCTTTATTTTATATTATTTCATAATTATTACGCTAATTTACTCATTAGTACTACCGTGTTACATAGAGAAATTTTTAATGCTTATTTCTTTAACACTGTTATCGTCTACTGTATAGTTAATAATAAAATTTTGTCATAAATTGCCTGTTATTGAATTTATCATTTGAATTTATTCCGCATTGCAGAGATATCACATAAAGAACCTGAAATAAAATAAAATATTTCATACAAACGACACAAACTTCTGCTATCAACGTACAAAAAGGAAATGAAATATAATTTATATATTATAAATATGTAAATATTATTACTATATTAATAATTCAAGGAAAATTAGTTTCGTCCAATTTCAGTACGAATACAATAATCTGACACGTGTTATCAATATTTATGCGAACAATTCGACGATATTTGTCGCTCAATCATCTTACTATTATCCTATACTCCTTACAAATTCAATCATACCTATATTCCTTTAGTGATCAACCTACACACACGCGCACTCTCAAAGCAATTATATTTTTAAATTCGCACAAACAAAATTTCCCAGCCCACTTTTCATCGACACCCACACGTTTACACGTACACCAAGGCACATTTGCTATTACTTTCAATCGTACCACGAATTAAAACCGAACGAAGACACTTTCTCCAGAACTCCAGGGTGCAAACAATTCTCCCACACACATTTCATATTTTTGCACGAGAGATTGCTCCGTTTCGAGTTCCACCGCAAATTATATACTATCGCCCTATAAAGTTATAACGAAAATACGCGTGAATTACATTTTCTCTAATAAAACCCCGACGCTTTATCGCTGCGGACTTTATTGCTTTCATAAATCTAATTTGAAAAGACGCGGCTCTCGTCGAGAACGACACGCTGCTCGATAAAACCGTATACATATTTTGTTTCAGAAACGACGAGTCTCTTTGTTCATGCTGCTGGTCGGCTGTGCTGGCGATAACGAGGGGTTGGCGGAGGGCATTGTTTTATCTGCCGCTATCCTGTGTTTTGGCATGGAAACCGCACAGTCTTTGGTTGTCCTATGTCGCGGGTAACTTGGCAAACTGGATGTTTAAATATTTCCCTTATATCCTTGCTGCTCGGATCCCTTTAATCGGCCGAAACTACCAGCTTTAGCGTAATAGTCGTTGCCCCTTCCGTTTTTTATATTTCATTGGCCGTGGTGGTTGTAGGTTGTGTGGCTTGTGAATTCTGGATCATGCTTTAATCCTTTGCTGATGAGACGCGAAGGCACTGGTACATAGAATAGGTAATAAACGGTATGAAGGGACGGGGGAAGGAAATTCATTGAAAAGGGAAAGTATAGATGTCTTTAGAGTAAAGGGAAATGAATGGAAATAAGAATTGCGAGGATGTGGAAATAATTATAAATACTCTTGCATGTTAATACTAAAATAATGAAATAAAATAATAGATATCGTAAAATAAAATAATACAACTTATACAAGTTTCTTCTGGTGATGTGATATTGAATAAAAATTATTTTCGATAATATGAAATCGAATAAAAATAAATCATCGATAACAATTTTCAACAAGAATTTTAATCAGTAATATCCAATGAATAATTCTTGTAGAGTTTACTTTCGTGAAAACGAATCCGTAATCGCAATTTCTCTGTCATCCACAACTTTCAAAAATTGTGAATTATTCTAAAAACGCACGATTTTTGGCTAAAATCACGATAAATACTTACAAATGATAGAAGATTCATTTTCATCTTGAAAGTTGGCTGGGACTTTATTTTTTAACGACTATATTAAAATCATTCGTATTTATATATATATATATAATCTGTAGTGAAAATTAACAAATTACTCAATTTCTGAGATTAATTTATGAACTTTTATAGTCTCATCGCAAAGCTGAAACTCTGAGCAACATTCTTATTCTATTTTCGTAATAATTTGTTGTTAATTAGTGTGTTATTAATAATTATTTTATGGTGCGGGTAATTTGAAAACAACGCCCAGCATGAGTATTCGTAAAGATATTTAATTATGTTCAAAAGTAGAAGAAAAATATGATCAGAAGTCATATGAGAAGATGCGCAAGAACGTTGTGTTTATAATGAATGCATAAAAGTCATAAATTAATTGCATGAAAAATAGTTATTAATGAGAAACCATTGATATATACGGCAACATTTCAAACACGCCATGCAATAATTATTTTTAATCAATTGATTAAGAAGAAATTATTATCGAAAGTTATATGAGAAAGTTCGCCAAGGATCTGGCTTTACGATGCGATTATAAAAGTTCACAAATTCTTCACAGAAATTGAATAATTTTATGATTATACAAGTCAATCTTATTGTCGAATTATTATTCACTATCCTTTTCTATGGGTAGTGCAAATCGTTGATTGGTGTTAAGATAGCCAATAAGAAAGACTTGACATCAGCACCATCTATGATTTTTGACTTGAAGCTTTTCACGGTTTTTACACTCGGAGCGCCATCTATGACTTTCAACTGGAAACTTAAGGAAGTTGTCGGATACCTCCTAGATTATTCTGTGTTCCTATCACGTTTGTAAGC